CTTTTGCACAGCCAAGAACACAGTAAGTAAAACAAGCAGACAGCCCTCAGAATGAGAGAAGATATTTGCAGGTTATGTCTCCAACAAATGTTTAATAACCAGAATTCACAGAAAACTCAAACGTATTAGCAAGAAAAGAACAAGTGATCCCATCTCAGTGTGGGCAAGGGACTTGAAGAGAAACTTCTCTGAAGAAGACAGACACACAGCCTACAGACACATGAAAAAATGCTCGTCATCCTTAATCATCAGAGAAATGTAAATCGAAACTACTCTGAGATATCATCTAACTCCAGTAAGATTAGCCCACATCACAAAATCCCCAAACTAGAGATGTTGGCATGGATGCGGAGAAAAGGGAACACTTCTACATTGCTGGCGAGAATGCAGACTATTACATTCCTTTTGGAAAGATGTTTGGAGAATACTTAGAGATCTAAAAATAGATCTGCCATTCAATCCTACAATTCCTCTATTAGGATAGATTTTTACTGAAGGTTTGAGTCAAAAATGAAATGAGCATCCACTGTGCAAATTGCTCTTTCACAGTTGGAAAAATCTAAGGAAGAAGAGACAGACAGACTTGTTGAAATTCATTCACAGCTAACTAGAGATAGGACCAAAGTTGAACCGAGATTCCTTGCAGTCACTAAGAGGATAACAAATATCAAACACCATAGAGGGAATCCCTAATCAACACAGTGAATCTGCACACATCGTCTCTATAGATGGGGCTTCCTATTCTTCATGTCCTGTTCCTAAGATGAATTTAACAACAAAAGCCAATAACTTGCAGACTTGTAAGGAGTCCATGAGACACTGAATGAGAAAAATTTGCACAGTTTCAAGATGCAGCAGATTAAATGATGGTGCCCCAAAGCATGTACTCATGCCCTAACATGAGAACCTGGGCCTGTTAACCTTATTTGCGAATGAATCTTTGCAGATGTAAGTAAATTGAGGATGTTGAGATGATGAAGAGATTATCCTAGATTATCCATGTTGGTTCTAAATCCAGTAAGAAGGGTTTTCATAAGAGACACACAGAGAAGAGGAGAGAGAAAGGTGACCACAGAGGCAGTGATGAGAATATTATTGCCAGAAGCCAAGTAACACCTGGAGCCACCAACCTGAAAGAAACAGGAAACAAAATATTTTCTATAGCCTCTGAAGGGAGTGTGGTCCTGCCAACCTGCTTCTAGCCTCTAGAATCAAGAGATAATACATATCTGCTGTTTTAAAAGCCACCAGATTTGTGGCAATTGATTATGGCAGGGATAGGAAACTAATTTAGCAACTGAAAACCAGAATATAGTAAGTGTTCAAAATAATATAAGGAACCTGCTATTTTCATGAGCCAGAAAGTTCATTATAAAAGCTCACTGGTGTCTTTATTCCTGTCTTTTGATTTTTCTTCAGCCAAGCAGGTGTTTTCTCTATGAGCTCTGTTCCGGGTCCCATGATGAGCCCTGATATTCCCGAAGCAAGGAGTCAACAGCAAGAATAATACAGAAACCTGGTATTTTAGAAAAGCTATTCTAAGAATGGCCAGGCAGAAGAGAGGAGACAGCAAAACTAGCATCAACATGACTCCCTTTATTCAGCTCTAACATTAGGCAACAAGGGGGTGTTTTGAGCCCTGGCTGGCCACCTCCTTGCCACTAACTCAGTGTACAAAGCTCCTCCTTTCTGACCCTCCATTTTCTCAAAAATGTAATATTGAATCCATACAATTTTGATGGTAAAAAATAAATTGGCAACAAGTTGTTGTCTACTCTGTCTTGTTAAGTCCACTCTACCATCGCTATTAACTTCAAACATAAATATAAAAAATAATTTACCCAGTTACATAGACATTAGTCTTAGTATGCATTCTACCACCCTACCCACCTTGCATAATAGCATTGCATCTATTACTTTGACATTCAAGGCCCCGCATTATCTCCTAATTCATTTCTTACTACTCCAGCTCCTTCCACATTATGCGCCAGCCTCAGTGGAGGGTTCCTCACATGATACTGTGTTTCCACACATGGGTGGAACCTCTACCTCAGTGGTTCTCAACCTTCCCAATGCTGTGACCCTTTAATACAGTTCCTCATGTTCCAACCATAAAATTATTTTTGTTGCTGCTTCATAACTGTAATTTTGCTACTGTTATGAATCATAATGTAAATACCTGATATACAGGATGGTCTTAGGCAACCCCTGTGAAAGGGTTATTTGACCCCCAAAGGGGCCATGACCCACAGGTTGAGAATCACTGCTCTAGAGACACCTCAAAACAAAACATCAAGTAGCATCAGAGATCCCACTGCTGGGATCTACTTTTGCCCAGATTCCCTGAACATCTCAAGCAACCCCATGTAATCTTACCTTCCAAGAAACAAAAGAAATGCTTATGGGAAATGTAGGATCTCAAATACAAATTAGTGAATAAGTGAATTCTGTAGGTTGGTTTTCCATGTCATAGTTCAAATCTGCTCATACATTCTTTGCATCATACATTCTTAGAGCAACATGAAAATTATGGGACACTTTTCTATTTTGCCAATAAGAAAAACCAAAGTCCAAAGAGGAAAAGACGCCCAGTCACACACCATGAGTCAGTGGAAGAGGAAGCACTATACCCCAAAATATCCTGAGTCATGTACCCTGAAGACTTTTTAAACGGTATGACCTTTTGATGCCTGGTGGAGGGGCATTTCAGTGCAATGAAGTGACTATAAAGGGGCTAAGGGGTGGTTATAATGTTATAAAACCAGCCTGGCCACTAGAAATTCTTACGTCCTTTGGGGATAAAGGTAAAGGATAGTGAAATATGAATTACTACTTAGCTGGGTTCCACTAGTACAATTATTCTCAAAGGCAGAGATGGGAGGGCATATCTCCTACAGGACATTTGGCAATGTCTGGGCACACTTTAGCTTGTCACAAGGAGGAGGTAGTTTCTATTGGCATCTAGTGGGTAGAAACCAGGAATGTTGCAAACATCCTACAATGTAGAAGACAGTCCCCCACAACAAAGAATTTTCCGGTCCTAAATGTCATCAGTTTAGAGGTTAAGAACACTACTATAGGATTTCTCTTTTACCAAGACAGTTTCTATTGGGATCAATATCCTGAGACCCTTTCTTGGCTAGAAATTAAGAGACACTCGAGGGTTTGGAGTATAGACTCCTAATATACAAAGAGTCTCATTGTAGTTATCTCTAGAGATATTAAAGAAACTGGTATTAATAGTGATAATATATGATAGTATTGTGTTTTTAAATCTGAACACTAGTTTTCCTTTTTTTTTCTTCCCTCTATTCACTTCTGGTAATATATCTTTCTGTCCCATATCAAATGGAAAGGGTTGTAACCAAGGCCTAGACAATTTTAGTATTTCATTTCCACAAATTCAATAATCAATTCAAGGTTAGAAAGGAGATTAAATCAGGGTCAGTGAGAATTCTTCCCTAAAGTGGGTATACATGAGATTATTGGGATTTTTTTTTCTTTTCTTTGTCTTGGGATATTGAGACAATATGAAGATGGGTTCCTGGTGCCATCTTCCTTGTAACAAGGAAAAGGCTTCTGTGAAGGAGAAGTAAATGCAGCCTCAGAGATGACAGTCAGGTATATACTATGTGTTCTGGTGACAATGATTCCCCATTTGGGTTCCAAAGTCCTGGGTCTTAAAGTTCTTCCTTCAAGTCTGTAAGCTACCCTAGAATCCAGTTGCAAGAGCCAATAAATCCTCCTTCTTTTGGCATAAACTGATTCGAGTTGGATTTTTGTCACTTGTAGTGGAAAGAGTTCCAACTAATAAACTCCCATTTATAGAGCATTTGAGAGTTAGCTAAGTGTTTTCACATTTGTAATCTTATTTGAGCCTCACCAAAATCTCATGCTGCATCTATCTAGAGAAGCAGCATGGACTCCTTGACATGAGTGAAAACTGAAACCCAAAGTGGCTGAGGTTACATTACCATCCCAACATCACCCCGGTAATGTGGAAACCTATACAACTTCTCTCTAAGGGGAAAAAATACACATTCTTATAAAGTGAGACTAGCACAGTAAGAAGTACTACAATAAAAATAATAGAATAATAGTTATCACATACGGAGTGCTTATAATACACAAGCTCTGCTCCAGAGCGTTACATACATTAACTCATAAATCCTCACAACAAAATTATGACTACAGGTAAAATTATTTTTTCCCTTTTACAGGTGAGGAAACAGGTATTTAAATAAATGGCCCCAAATCCTCTAGATCAGCGGTTCTCAACCTGTGGATTGAGACCGTCAGGAACTGTATTAAAGGGCTGTGGCAATAGGAAGGTTGAGAACCGCTGCTCTAGATAATTAACAACAGAACAGGATTTAAAATCGAAGTCCAGATACTCAACCACTGAACCATACTGAGGATCAGAGCATCTGTATAATTTGACCCAAATCCTCCCACTTGTAGCTAGGAATTGGCACAGTCATGACACTAATTCTGGTCTAACAAACTTAACAGTCTTTATTCTGAAGTGGCACCCAGTACTCCCTCGCATTCTAGATAATGGTCCCCAATGCCAAGATGTAAACCCAGGCCTTCTTACTCTAAGCCTAGTGCTAATTCTTCTTACATACTCATGTAATACGTACTTATAAAGAACTCTTACTATACACCAAGCACTTACGAAAGCTGTTTGAAATGAAGAGTGGGGATGATGCCCAATGAGACTTATTTAATTACAAATCTATTCTTATCTTTGAGGAAGATGAGAATCGTGTTGAAACACAGCTTTGGGGATTTAGGAACTCGGGAAGGAGAACCATCTGTATTTTATTAAGGAAGGACAAGAAAGTTTCCTTCAACAACCTCAGAAGCCAAGTTAAAAATATGCTGGTTCACAGTTCATAGCAAAAGTTGTATCTGTGATACCGAAATCCCTTTTGTTCCAAGAACACATGTGGAAAGGATGATGAGGACTTGTTTATTTCATGGCTTACTAGTAGAAATAGGCTGAAGAGTTGTGATCTTGTCCCCTTTATGTCCTGCCACTGAAAGAAAAATAAAAAAGGAAGCTTTGAGTCCAAGGTCCAAGGAAGCTTTGAGTCCAAAACAGATGGCTTTTACAGAGACGAGAAAACCATTTATCATAATTTTGTCAGAGAAGGACAAAATATTTAAGGATGAAATTTGTTTTACAATCTTCGGAAATACAATATGGGATAAATAAACATAAGAAAACAATTGCTTTAAAAGCTTTTAAAAACTTCAAAATCCTCTCTGCATCACCTTTATTTCTCCCAGTCTGTTGACATGTGTTCTCAGGAAGGATGATGTCTCCACCTTTGAGACTTTCACACTGTAACCTGTCTCCTTGACACCAAGACTGAACAGAAAGAACATTACACACAAACACATATAAAGCCCAAGGGCTGGTCTTACAAGGTGAGAGAATTTCTGAAGCTTAAGATGACAAACAGAAGCAACCTTGGCTCAGAAAGGAGACTTTTTCAATTTCAGGGACAGAAGATTGCTTATTTGTTTCTTCACAACCAATGTAAAGAAGGTGCTAACAAAAGGAGTTTGATATAAACAACAACTTGAGCTTCTTGGGAAAATAAATCATTCCCTGAAAACCAGATATTATTTTGTCCCTCTAAAATGAGATGACTGCATTGAGTCATTTCATTCACTCAAGGTCAAACAGTGAACAACTGGGACAGCTGGAGGAGATGAGTTCTCCACTCTCAGGTCCACTAGTTCTAAAGCTTAATGTGTTGGTTTTCTGCAAAATGGCATCTCTTCCAGCAGTTCTTATGGCCAGGCTCTCGGGATGTCTCACTTCCCTGTTCCAATCAATCACAACTCTCACGGACCCCGCTCTATGCTCTCAAAACACTCTCCAGTGCTCCACTTTTTCTGCTGCCTCATCCTCCACAGTCACAGGCCATGTCCTTCCTGAACTGTGACGTGTAGCAGACCATATAGCTTACGGGAAGGAGAACGGAGAGTTAAGCTCGGAATACTCTGTAATTACAAGAAACACCGGTAATATCTCGATAATATAACACCTTGTTGATAGGGCATGAGGAAGGGACTCAGCTCTCCTATCACAAGATCTCCCAAGACTAGGGCATCAGTGATTGGCAGTCTCTACACCTGTGGTGCTAATGGCCACCGGATCATGTCTATAAGAAGCTGCAGTGGGGGGCGTGCTCATTCTTTCACAGACCCCTCACTGACTCTTTAGCTTCTGCCCACAGGGTGTCTGCCCCGTGTCTCTCTAAGAAGACTGCTAAGATTCAATCTCTTACTAAAACTGTTTCCCTCCTTCAAAGACTGTTTCCCTCTCCCTTCTAATAAGGCGAATATCCCTCAGGTACCTAAGGGTAATTGTTCCCAAGCAACATAGCACAGCGGTCCGTGTCCGGACAATAGATAAGGTGGGCAGACCTGGCCAGTCCCGGCCCGACAAGTGGCCATGAGGATGGGATAGTAGAAGCCACTGCAGTGATGTTTCTCATATCTGTGTGCTTTCTCGGGGTGTTCTTCCACTAAGCTGCCCTGCCTCCTGCTCTGGCTCCACCTGGTTACCTCCACTTCCTCTGTTAAGACTCAGCTTGCTCATCTTTTTCTTTTTTTTTTGTAGACAGTCTCACTTTATCGCCCTCGGTAGAGTGCCTTGGGGTCACACAGCTCACAGCAACCGCCAACTCCTGGTCTTAGGCGATTCTCTGACCTTAGCCTCCCGGGTAGCTGGGACTACAGGCGCTCACCACAACACCTGGCCATTTTTTGTTGCAGTTTGGCCGGGGCCAAGTTTGAACCCATGACCTTAGGCGCTCTGCCCACTGAGCCACAGGAGCAGCCCAGTTCATCTTTTTCTATTGTATGTGTATTCCATAAAGCTATCCCTAAAGTCCTACAAGCCCCTAAGCTTTCCTGTAGGCCCCAACACATGGCACCGGAGATGTAGCCAGGGGATTTATCCACCTGGGAAATTCAACATTTGCCTGTGTTTCTCTTTACTTTTACCATGTTGATGCCCCCGTCTCTATGCATCTGTCTCTTCAACAAGGATGATAGCAGATGCAGCCATGACCCTTTTCTGGAAGAAATGCCCCAAGCAGAATAAACCCAGGGAGAGATTTCCTGTGACCTCCACCCCGTGGCATCGCCATTGGCCTATTGGAAAATGTTTTCTGTGTTTGACACAAACAGTGAGAAGTCACATCGTATGTGAATGGAAAAATGGAAAATAAAATGACAGGAGCTCCTCATCCGCTAGCACTTACCGTTAGTATGTTTTTCCTAAAGTCATTTAGAGAGAAGAAAAGCGAATTGAAAAGGTGAATCTCCCTGGACCTTGCATTTTTCTGAATCTCTTTTCCTGTTAGTTCCTTAAGTAAGAGCTTTTATATATAAAATGTCAAGTTCATTTTACAAGGTTTCTTTTTCTTTCTCTTTTTTTAACTCCTTCTGGTTTTCACTTTCTATTGCCTAAGAAATAAAATGGAAACTCTTCAGCCAGGCATTTAAAGATCTACATAGTCTGACTCGGGCTGACCTTCCTAGTTCTAAAATAACACCATTCTCTCCCTAGGAACGCTCCCCTATT